GTAAGCATCATGTGTCCAGTGGTAAGGGGCCTATTAGAATAGCATAAAAAAGAATGTACAAATGTTAATAATTAATTTATCCAAATTTTTTTTTTATTTCCTTCTCCTTCGGGAATTTTTTATTCTCATGTTCATAACTAAACCTAAACATAAAAAAATGCTGGCCTTATAATGAAGAAAGGGGCCTCTTTCAAAATAGATAATTCCAGGGCTGCTGGGTCAGGGGTACCAGGGGGGTACTTTGACTAAAAATAAATTAATGCTTTGAAATCTGCCCTTTGATAAGCAATGGTGCCTCTTTCAAAATTTGTGAATTTCATGGCTTTTGGTTTAAAACATGAACCAAATACAATCGCTGGAAAGTTGTTACATGATACTCGGGTGACCTATAAGGCCCGTGGGCCTCTTGTAATCAAATATGAAGGCCGGATGCAAAAAAAACAAAAAAAATATATTTGACTTTGAAACTTTGATATATTAATTCATAACAGGCACTGTATATTGGTATATAAAATAGATATGTTTATATTTGTAGATACATGTCTTTTAGACACTACTCCATGGACAACAGCAGTAGACACAGTTACATCAATATCAGAACTCTCAACTCCATCAACATCTTCAGCGTCAAGTCACAAAAGTTCAACTTCACAAAGTCGGAAAAACTGTGTCAACTTTAAAAATCTGAAATGGTAAGTCGATATAAATTAATAAGCTAGACTAGAACAGTATGCAAGTTTTGAGATTTGTAGTTCTCCAATTAGAAACACAACAGAGTTCTTGAATTTTTTTTCCACTGTCATTCATTTGGACTGACTACGATCTGGGACTTTTTCACTATGGAAAGATTTCTTTTGGTCCGTGAAGTCACTTAGAGATGACCCTGAATGGGGTTTCTTCAGATCCTTGTTTAGCTATCTATGTGAGCAGATCAAAGGATCTGATTTTAATCAGATGGACAGCTCACCTTCTTCTGTTATTCTGCACATGGGTTTTTTAGCTCACCTGAGCCAAAGGCTCAAGTGAGCTTTTCTGATCACATTTTGTCCGTCGTCCGTCCGTCAGTCTGTCTGTCCGTCTGTAAACTTTTCACATTTTCGACTTCTTCTCAAGAACCACTGGGCCAATTTTGACCAAACTTGGTACAAAGCATCCTAGGGTGAAGGGGAATTTAAATTGTTAAAATACAGGGCCAAGTCCCCTCACAAGGGGAATCAAGAAAAGACAAAAATAGGGTGGGGTCATTAAAAAATCTTCTTCTCAAGAACCACTGGGCCAGAAAAGCTGAAACTTATATGGAAGCATTCTAGTATAGTGTAGATTCTAAATTGTTCAAATCATGACCCCCGGGGGAAGGGCGGGGCCACAATGGGGAATCAAAGTTTTACATAGAAATATATAGGAAAAATCTTTGAAAATCTTCTTCTCAAGAACCACTGGGCCAGAAAAGCTGAAACTTATATGGAAGCATCCTGGTATAGTGTAGATTCTAAATTGTTCAAATCATGACCCACGGGGGAAGGGCGGGGCCACAATGGGGAATCAAAAATTTTGCATAGGAATATGTAGGAAAAATCTTTGAAAATCTTCTACTCAAGAACCACTGGGCCAGAAAAGCTGAAACTTATGTGGAAGCATCCTGGTATAATGTAGATTCTAAATTGTTCAAATCATGACCCCCGGGGGAAGGGCGGGGCCACAATGGGGAATCAAAGTTTAACATAGAAATATATAGGAAAAATCTTTGAAAAACTTCTTCTCAAGAACCACTGGGCCAGAAAAGCTGAAACTTATGTGGAAGCATCCTGGGGTAGTGTAGGTTCTAAATTGTTCAAATCATGACCCCCGGGGGAAGGGCGGGGCCACAATGGGGAATCAAAGTTTAACATAAAAATATATTGGAAAAATCTTTGAAAATCTTCTTCTCAAGAACCACTGGGCCAGAAAAGCTGAAACTTATGTGGAAGCATTATGAGGTAGTGTAGATTCTAATTTGTTCAAATCATGACCCCCGGGGGAAGGGCGGGGCCACAATGGGGAATCAAAGTTTTACATAGAAATATATAGGAAAAATCTTTGAAAATCTTCTCAGGAACCACTGGGCCAGAGTCTGCTGAAACTTATGTGCACATGGAAGGATCCTGGGATATAATACAAAATGTCTTAATTTTGACCCTGATGGTATGGTGGGGATGCATATATGATGAGAGTTTCACAAGGGAATTGAAAGAACATAAGAGCCAAAGTGATCTCAGGTGAGCAATGTGGCCCATGGGCATTTTGTTTATGTGTTTGGTTTGCTGTTATAAAACAGGGGTTGACATAAGTGGCTTGAAAAGTTCCAGGGTTTTTTTGTTAGTCGGAAGATCCATAAAAAAAAAATCAAACTATGGTCATTAATTGATAAATATCCATCCTGTTTTTATACCCCCGCAAACGAAGTTTAGGGGGGTATTATTGGAATCACCATGTCCGTCTCTCTGTCCGTCTGTAGACAAGATTTTGTCTGGACCATTTCTCAGAAACTGTTGGATGGATTTATCAAAATTTATACACTGATTATTCACCATATGAAGGTGTGCACCTGATATTTTCATCATGATTGAATGATTTTTCTGCCTTTTACAGATGTTTTAGCCAAATATGTGATTTTGTTTTGCTCATAACTAGAAAACTATGAGACTTACAGCTTTTAAACTTGGCAAAAGTATACAGCTAAAGTAGAAGGTGTGTCGCGGCCTATTTCAAGGTCACTGTGACCTTTAATTTAAGTGATTTTTTTAAAAAAAACTAAGTCTTTAAAATTTTAAATTTCATAATCCTAAAAAATGTAAAAATATAGTTGTATCCTTATTAAAAAATGTTAAATTAAGTAAAAACTTATTTTTTCATTATATACTTTACAGCAATCTGTAACAAATGTTTATGCTTTGAGAGGAATTCAGTTTGTCCCATGGGCTTTTTAATTATCAAGCACTGGTCAAGAAGAATTTTGATAGCAGAAATTTGCATGTCAAATTAGAGAGAAATTAATGAGTTTATTTTCAGGAGCTAAGAGCATTTATAGATCTGATCAGCTGTTAATCTTGATTTATCTCTTGGGAGTTGGGCAAAAAGAAATTGACTCATAGTTGCTTGTGTTAATTAAGAGTTCTTGATGGCTAGTCCAGATAAAGATCTTCCAATTGGTGTAATGTAATTAAAACAAATTTATGTTTTAGTGTATGATTAAAACTAAATTAATATTGTATAATAAAATTAAAATTAATTTTTACATGTGTTCATTGAAAAAAAATTATATTTCAATTTTTACAATATTTGCAACAAATTGCAGTCATGTCTCACTTAGAATTTTATAGTCTGAAGAATTATTATAATTTATGTTTGATTTTTTTTATTAAACTGTAGCATTTCTATCATTTCAGAATATATGCAATTAACAATTTGTTTAAGTAAGCTGCAGATGGATATTTGATATTCTTTAACACAACCGGTTTAGAGTTATATGATGTATTTGTTATAATCAATCCCTACACTGCAAGTCTCTTAGTATGATAAGAAATGGAAATTAGATCATTGAAATCTGTGTCAATCTGTTAATCAATCAAGGCTACCTGATTTTCTTGCATCCTAACCAATTTATGATTATTGAACAATATTTGGCGGGCGTATCATGCTGTGGCGGGGCACTTTATTCTCCTTCTGAAATACCTGTGCTAGTTCAAGAATTACATCGTATTTGTCGTATCTAGGCTATCTATGGAGGTCCATTACCAGCTTTCTCTTTACCAGAGCCTGAGAACAGCTTTGATAACAATGGGAAATATATTGGGCAGATCATCATCAAAGATTCAGGTTTGTGTTTGAACAACAGAAGCAAAGACAAGATCTGCATGATAAACTAAAATTTTAATTTTCAAAAGATCTGAATGGGTAAAGTTAATTGTATGTAATTATGTGTAATTGTAATGGCACCTAGCTGATCCCACCCCTGATGTTTTGGAGGTCCGTGTTTGCTAGCTCTGCTCCTATTTTGTATTGTTTTATGGACTTTGATATTGAATATACTGTTTTTATCTCCATATCCTTCTCAGGGCTGTATCAATATATCGATACATATCGATATTCAAGAATCATATCTTATCAAAAAATTACTTCCAATACGTATCTAACAGACATTTTTTTCTTCTAATTCTGTGAAAAAGATGAAAATTTTAATCACTGAAGATTATATAAAACTTTTTTGAATTAAAACTTAGCAATAATCAAATAATCATTGAGGAAATAGTATAATTTATAATTATTACATAGATAATTTCATTTTAACATGTTGATTTTACAGTAATTTTAAAAAGTTTTAATTTGAAGTGTTATTTGTAATGACTTGGAGGCATGAACTTTGAAATGGGTTATAAAACACTTAGTTTTTATGAAATTCATGCATTTTAATGATTTTTTATGACTTTTTTGATGGACTTGTTTAAGAACCCAATATATTGCATATCGCTTAAAAAAATATTGTATCATATCGAAATTTTTTGCTCAATACACAGCCATAATCCTTCTTGTAAGAAAATGTAAATGACAGTACCGGTAGTATCACTAAGATCAAAATGTTTATTTTCAGATTTTGTGGATTCTCCAAGGAAGGATGCAGTCAGAGGATACAATGTCCCTGATCAAACATCTGTGTCTACAGATAAAATGGCTGTTCCACAACCTACTGTTGCTCCAAAAGTCAAGGTTACTTACACAAATGAGGTAAATGTCATATGGTATTGTATTATGTATATTTACTTAGCACTGTTGTGTTACTATTTCCTGAAAAAAATGCCATATACATGTTTTCGTTTTTAAAGGGGTATCGGGGCTTAATAACCCTTGCATCCAGGTCTAGTGTATGGAAAAGGACCCTGTCCCAATTGAAAATTTACTGTTTTTCCTCAAAATTAAGTTAAAAAAATCCCAAATGATACCCAGGCTAAATTTTAGGCCATAATAAATAAATTGCTAGATTCTTATCCGAATTTTTTTAGAAATCGAGGCGGGCAGCTTTTATTTTAAATTTTTAATTTTTTCTGCAGATTTTTTATTGACCAGGTCAATCGATGTAATTTTATCTACAGTACCCGAATAAAAGTAATACAGTGGATTCCATTTAATCGGATAGCGGTTAAACAAATATTTCGGCTAATCTGATACAATATCAGAGCACAAAACCATTTCTTATATATTTATTAATAAATTCACCTGATATTCTGATAGGAAAATATCGGATTTTCGTTTTATCTGATACAAAAATTTCGCCTATCATACACAGGCAACTTCGCCACATATGATCCACATATGAGTATCATATGAGAATCATATGATTGGTTTCATATGAGAATCATAGAAAAAGGGCATCATATGTGAATCATATGAAGCAAATCATATGATTTACATATGATCCACATATGTGAATCATATGAAAATAACTACATATGATTTTCATATGAATGATTTAAGTGTGTTTCAAGCCATTTACATATGAGAATCATATGAAAAGGGCATCATATGTAAATCATATGAAACACTTATGTGTGTTTCAAGATATTTACATATGAGAATCATATGAAAGGGGCATCATATGTAGATCATATGAAACAGTTATGTGTGTTCTCTTTCAATATTTTTCACATTCTTGTACATATTTAAAAATCAGATATTTCTGCTTTAGATGAAAATTCATTACATTACATGTACAATGATCTATCTTCATTGGTTAAATATTTTAAGATATATCTATATCTTATAATGCTTACACAACTTTTTTGATAAAATTATTTTCATCAAGAGAAATAACTAATTTTTCACAGTGTACATTCTAAACAAGAAAATATACAAACAAGTCGGTAGCATTTGTCGATACATGTATTTAACATATTCTAAAATGAGTACAAATTATAAGATTTCAGCAGATGTATACATGTACAAATGAATAAAATAATTAGGTCATGTACTTGTATAAAAATACCATATGACATGAAAGTGTCCACAGCAAAATTGAAATATCAGCAATTACATTTGTCATGTATTCTCTATTGTAAATTTATGAAGAATCAAGTTTTTTGATATTCTAGCATACAAATAAGAAATCTTTACAGGTCAAATTCAGAAAGGTTGTGTACATTCTCCACATTTCATAATTATTCCATATATTTCCAGGTTCTTTTTCCTTCTGTATCTTTCAATATTTTCAGTTGTCCTCCCTCTGATCTGACCATTTTGAGAATCCCTTTGAATTGACCAAAAATGCAAATCCACCAGTTCTCCCCTTCCGGAACAATTTCTTTGTGGCACAGAATGGTCTCTACAAAAATTTCAAAAATAAAAATAAAATAATTCTTAAATTACAAAATCAATTCTACAAGTTATATTAAAGTAACTTATTCATCAGCAAACAAATGTATTCCCAATTCACCGACACAGATATAATACGAGATAAAACTAATGTTATATACTAGGTGTTTTGTGAAATCCTATAATGTAATTTGCAAGACACTGTTGGAAGATATGCTTCATAATAAAATTATAAAAAGCATTTTTTTTTATTTTGATAATTGAATTGAATTTTGCAAGACAATTGCACTATTGGAATATATGCTTCATATTAAAATCATAAAAAGCATTTTATTTTTATTTTTGTCAATTGAATATGATGGAATGTTCAAATAGTATATAGCCAAAAATTTAGAAGATTCTGACAAATATATTACTTTTTGACAAAAAAAATCACAGACAAGTAGATAGGCAGAAAAACAGACTTTGTGATTCCAGGATATCCCAAACTTTGTTGAGAAGAATATAACAAAGTCTGTTAAACAGTGTGTAGTTACCTTAACTTTTGACAAGCCTAGGATCTTTGGATTTTTTCTTATGAGAGGCTGACTGTATGTTGAACCTGTATATTGAACCTGTAAAACCAATATTAACACAGTAGATATTTTCTAAGCATAACTAAAGCTTAAACTACAAAAAAGAGAGAGTATACAAGTTTGTAGGTTCTCAAAAGTCTTAAATATCTTACATTTCACCCGAAACTAGGTTCTCTATTAGTATTAAAAAATTTTTTTTATAAATGTCAGTCAATGAGTACATAGATGTAAATATTCAATGGATTAGCTACCTGATGTACTTTCAACACATACACATGCATATGTGTACCTTGAAAGTTGCCACTGTTATTATTATACCCCCTGAAGTTATAGTATAGTTTCATAGCTTTTAAAGCCAGCATATTCTATTCATACTTACCATATTTTAAAAGTGAATTGGATTAAAATTGTTTCATAATGTAGAATACTACTTCTATATATATTGAGTTGAATTTATTTTTGATGAAGCCAATGCAAACAATGTAGAATTATAAAGGAACAAAACGAAATTATCAAGAAATATTTTGTCATAAAGGAGTCATTACAGATGTACACTTTGATTCTTTATTGCAAGTATTTCTTTTTATCTTTAATATCGTGATGATGCAATCGTCTGTCACATCAGCTTTTGGATCAATCGCCTAGTCTTCCCATACGGAAAAAAAGGGCAAACAAACTACTATAACAAATTACTAACAAACCACTATGGTTTGAAAGTAGTTTAATAGTATAGCAAATCACATGCAAATGAGCTAACAAACTATACTCTAACAAACTACTATCAAACCACTCTTAACAAACTACTATCAAACCACTCTAACAAACTACTATCAAACCACTCTAACAAACTACTATCAAACCATTCTAACAAACTACTATCAAACCACACTAACAAACTACTATCAAACCACTCTAACAAACTACTAACAAAACACTGGTAACAAATCCATCAGCAAAACACTAGATTTGAATTTTCCTTTACAAATCCACAAGTCTTTGAAAACACCTAAAACAGTCACATTTTGAAGTATTCAACAAGTCTTGTTTCAGAGTATTTTAAATTCCAGGATTCAGTTTAGCCAATGCAAGTGCAACATTCCAACATGTTGCCTTTTGTTTAGGAGATGCCAGTTTCCAAGTCATGTCTATGTACTTATCCGCACATATTCTCCTTCATGTTGTGCACATCTTCATAGTATTTTTCACCAAAAAAATGTTCTTCAAGCTGACATTTAAATATTCCCTGCTTCATCTGGCATGGAAAATGCTGCAATATTTCCTTTTTCTGCATGGCCTTATTGCAACTTTGAAAGACATCTTTTTTTGTCTTATTTTCAAGTATACTTCCCATAATCCAATGCATAACTGATCTAAACTAGTATAGGAATTATAGGTCAATCTGAAATTGATAAAAACCCAAAGCTAGTAAAAAGCATACACATCCACATACACAGAAGGTTCATTACTGTAGTCCAGCCTTAATTTTGGTAAAAAGGAACTTCATGACATGCATTAAATACCTCTTCTGTATCCAGATCCATCTTTTAATAATGTTAGTTGCTGCTTTTTCCAGTCAGGAATCTTATAGAATGATACTAGTCTAACAATTTGAATGTCTCTTCACCAGTTCCTTTGTTTCTGACCTGCTTGGTGGTTTGAAAATTGGCGCAAATTGCTAACACCGGATGTAAAGATTAAGCTGTTCTTGGAAACTTCTACAATTCTAGATAATTCAACCCTAAACATGTCTGTAAATTAATTTCCCATGTGGTTAGATTCAAATGCTATACTAAGAAAACACTGTTGCAAGATACCAAGTCTAACAAACTATAAAGAAATCACAATCATCAGAAATGAAAGACTAACAAACCACTTTACTTATTTTTAGAAACAGTGGTTTGTTTGTGTTTCATTAAATGCTATACTATCAAACTACTTTAACAAACCACTAAAATATAGTTTGTTGGTAGTTTGTTGATGGTTTAATAGTAGTTTGTTAAAAATCTTTTCCGTTTGGGTTATCAGCTTTGGGCTTCTTGGACATAATAAAAAAGCAGCACGGTGACACTGAACTCAAGTTGTTGAATGCATCTATAGGACATAAAAAAAAACATTTGTCATTAACTTTATGAAAGAATCGACTTGATAACAATCTCAACATACAAAAGCGCCAAACTGCTATACAGGGTTTCTACTTTCACTTTCAAATCAGTACGTAACAAAAGTCAAAACAAAAAGAAAACAAAGTAATGCCTTTAGCCTAACATGTAAATTGTAATGTTTACATCCATTCAGAAACAAATTTATCCAAAATTACTTACAGATCACCAACGTTATGTAGGTTAAGTTTACGAAATGCATTAATTTAACAATTACAAGTGATGAGAGTATTACAGAGATGAGTTCATACGAACCTGTAACCGTAATGAAACGATATTTAAACAATATGAATTAAAGGTCTTTAAAAATTGTTAGGAGATTACTTACTTTTTCCAACACTCAGCACTTCTGCTGCAGCAGTGACGTCAAATATGACGTACACTTTCATCCGATAGAAGTCAAAACCGGTCCGGGAAAAATACGGATTTTTTAAATTTTACTCAAGTAATAAACCCAAACCCAAAAGATTGAAATAAAAAGCAAATTAATTTATTCTTTATCAATTTTGTCTGGGATATGCATTATTACAGAAAAAGAAAATTGTGAGAGTTTTTTTTTTATAAGGGAAAAGGGGGAGGGGGGTGTTAAACAGAGTAGAACTTAACATGAGTTTTTGCTAACAAATTCTTTTTAAAATTATGTACATTT